GCCGGTTGAATCAGTTACATCTGATTCATGGAATAATTCAAGGGGGAGACAGCTACACCGATCCAGAAGACAAATTAAATCAAAGAGTGATGTGTTAGAAACTAGAAGCATGGGCAGGTGTAAAAGGGTCTATAGAAGGTCGAGGGAAAGGAGATATTGGTATGAGGATTTGTTGAAGTTTACGCCTGTAGCTGATGGGGTCAGAGCTAGTTAGGAAAAGATTGATGCGGTTTTTAGTGCTAATAAACATCTTTGTTTACCACCAATTTTGATTGCAAATGGGAGCAAAGTTTCTAATATTGTCAGTGGTACAGTGGATGTGAGTGAGGATAGGGAGATTGATGGCTATTTTTCAGAAGGAGACTGTTTAAGATTCAAATCTGGCTTGTTAATTAGAAGGACAAAATGGAATTTATTACGGGATGCCCTTGAACAAGTAAGCATTGATACAGCCTCCTCTTCAACCTTCTCAGTTCTAATGGAAAAAGCTCTAGCTACTTGGGAGGTGAGTGAGCTTCTGGGGGTGTCTTTTAAGGAATGGAAAGAAGCATTTCTGGAGAAAACCATGCCTTTAGAGAAAAGTTTGAATGGGGTTAATTAAGGTGATGTTGGTAGAGGTTTTCAGTTTGTATTTTTCTCTTTTATGATGAAGTCAAAGTTAGTAATTTATTTATGGAATGTTAGGGGTTTAGGGAAAAAAGAAAAAAATGTTGTTCAGAATTTAGTTTTTAGTATATATCTCACTTTTCTTTGGCTGTAAGAAACCAAGTCAAAGAAAATCCATAGGTCTTTTTTTCAGAAGAAGTGGGATCAATAATCTAAAGGGTGTTTTAGAATCCCCTTCGATCGGATTATCAGGGGGTTTATTGTGCTGTTGGGACAACAATATTTTTGAGCTGGAAAAACAGTATGTTTGCAGGAGATTTATAGCAATTTTTGGTAAATTTCGGGATAATAATTACAGTTGCGATTTCATCAATGTTTATGGTCCATCAGTGGAGGAGGATAAACCTAGCTTCTTTGAAGAATTAAGCATGTTCCTTAGAGGGCAGAGTTATCCTCTTTGTGTGGGAGAGGATTTTAATGTTTATTTACAAGAATATGAGAAGGTGGGAAGAGGTCAAAATAGAAGTTCTATGGAGAAATTTAGTCAGTTTATCCTTCAAACTAGTCTAATTGATCTTCCTATGAATGGGGGTAGGTTTACTTGGTGTAACAACCAAGATAATCCCATTTTTGTAAGATTTGGATCGGTTTTTGGTCGAGAGTCAGTTCTTGGTTTCGTTTCCGGATATTATCCAGTCATTACTCCCTAGGTCTGCGTCGGATCATAATGCTATAGTTCTTGTGAATAAAGGTATTGAGTGGGGTCAAAAACCGTTCAGACTTTTCAAATATTTGATGGAGGATAAGGGTTTTGAGGATCTGGTTAAATCATCAATTCAGAATTGCAAGAAAGCTTATAAAAAGGTTGGTGTGTTCAGTTTACTAAGAAGTACAAAACATGCAATTAAAAAGTGGGCTAGGAAGATAGGTCAGTATCCAGCAACCATGATTTCTAAATTAGAGAAGAAAATTCAGCCGATAGAGGTTGATATTCAGCAACAGCAAGGTGTTATTGACAATGGAGTTTTAGCAGAATTGTGGAATCTTTATAAAATTCAGGAGCAGATTTGGTTTCAGTACTCTAGATCGAAATGGATAGAAGATGGGGATCGTAATAAAAAAAATTTTCATATGTGTGCTACAGTCAGAAAAAAGAGGAATGATCTGGTTTCTCTTAAATTTAGGGGTGATTCAGTTGAGGACCCGACAACTATTAAGGCCATAGTAAAAGATTATTTCTTTAAGATTTACAATGAGAGATCTACATCAGAAATTGATGATATAAGGCTGGATTTCTCCAGAATTACTGTGGAGCAGAGTTAGATATTAGAAAAGGAATTTTCTGAGGAGGAAGTTTGGGAAACTTTGAAGTCGTGTGACAGCAACAAGGCTCTAGGGCCTGATAGTTTAAATCTGAGATTTTTCAAGAGGTTTTGGCAGGTTCTTAAGGAAGATATTATGAAATTATTTCATAATTTCTACTTGGGGAAGGAATGGGAATATGGAATAAACTATACTTTTATCACTCTCATTCCAAAGAACTCTAACACTGGTGGCCTAGAAGATTTTAGACCTATTAGCTTAGTTGGTGGGCTATACAAGATCTTATCTAAGTGTCTATCGAGGAGACTTAGGAGCTGTATATCATATTTAATCAGCCCTTCTCAATTCTCTTTTATCCCCGTTCGACAAATTTTGGATTTCTCCTTAATATCTAATGAATGGATCGATTTTTGGAGGAAGAATGGATTAAAGGGCGGTGTTTTCAAAGTTGACTTCAGAAAGGCTTATGATACAATCGATTGGCCTATTTTGTTCAAAGTAATGAGGAAAATGGGCTTTGGTAATACATGGAGAGGTTGGATTTCGAAATGCATCACAACAACTACTGTTTCAGTATTGGTGAATGGGGTTTCATTTGAGGAATTCCCAATGGCTAACGGTCTTCTCCAAGGTTGTTCCTTGTCTCCTTTACTATTTAATATAGTGGGAGAACTTCTGAATTTATTGATTCTTAAGGCATTTTCAAAGGGGCTATTTTCAGGTCTGGTCATTAGCAGGGAGGAGGGGAATTTTAATTTAACTCATCTTCAATTTGCTGATGATCTCATTATATTCTGTGGTGCATCGAAAAAGCAGATTTTGAATGTGAAGAGGGTGTTCCGAGTGTTTGAAATTATGTCTGGTCTTCAGTTAAATTTGAAGAAGTGTAAATTGTTTGAGATTAACTCGAATGAAGAGGAAATTAAGGATTGGGTAGCTGCGATTGGATGTTCAGTGGGCAACTTTCCTTCAGAGTATTTGGAACTTCCCCTTAGAGCACACAAAAATTCTAACCAACTGTGGGATACAAAGTTTTAATAAAAGGTTAGCGGGTTGGAAATCATCCACTCTTTCAGTGGCAGGGAGGCTGGTTTTAATTAAATCAGTCCTATGTTCTCTCTCTACATGTTTTTTGTCATTGTTCAATGTCCCAGTTTCGGTCTACAAGTCCCTTAATTCAGTTATGTCTAATTTCTTATGGGGAGGAGGAAATGGGAAAAATAAGATTCATTGGGTGAGCTGGTCAGAGGTATGTAAACCAAAGATTGAAGGAGGATTGGGGATTCCTAATTTAAGTGTGGTAAATAGAGACTTATTAGAGAAATGGGCTTGGAGGTTTGCTAAGGAGAGGAATGTGGTTTGGGGGGAAATGATTTGTACTAAATACAAAATGGACCCATCTTTAATGCAGTTTGACAGTAATGTTTCCTCTAAGTTATCTTGGATTTGGAAAGCTATGGTGAGTAATCATTATAAAGAAGATTATGTTGGCTGTAAAATCAGGAGTAAATACAGTTATAAAATTGGTAATAGGAGAATTATTCGATTTTGGCAAGACGTTTGGGCTATGGATAATCCTTTAATGGTCATTTTCCCTAGATTGTTCGCTATTGTAGTAAATAAAGCTGGTAAATTATTCCAGTTTGGGGAATTTAGCACGTGGGGCTGGTTTTGGAATGTTCAATTGAGAAGGAATTTGAATGACTGGGAATATGAGCAATGGACAAATTTAATGGTTGTCATTTTGGTCTTCTCTATTTCTGATGACTCTGCTGATGGGCTGATTTGGAAGGGCTTTGGAGATGGGGTTTTCTCTGTTAAATCTTGTGCTAATTTATGTTATTCGGGGAGTTCAGATTCGGAAGAAGCTCATTTTTGGAAGACTGTTGTTTGGAGGGGTCTGCTGCCTCCAAGAGTGGAGACTTTTCTATGGCAAGTGATTTTGCAGAAACTGCCAGTGAAGACAGCTTTGGTTAAACGAGGAGTAAAGGGCATAGATGATATGTTATGTCCTTTATGTAAGTTAATGGAAGAGTCCTCCTCCCATTTATTATTTTCTTGTTCGGTTGTTTGGTCAATATGGAAAAATTTCATGTGCTACTGGAATATTCAGTCTGTTTTTCAAGTGGATGCTAAAAGTTTTCTTCTAGCCTGGGTAGAATTGAGGTCTAACTCTCTCATATGGTCATTTATTCCTGGAGTGGTTCTATGGACAATATGGAAAACTAGGAATTCTATTGTGTTTGAAGGAGGAAAGCTAGATCGAGCTGAAATTTTCTTTTTAGCAAGGTTCATGCTTGCTTCATGGTTTTTAGCAAAAAATTTCTCAGATTTATATCTCTAAGGATTGTCTTATTGTTGATCCTTCCTTAGGGGATTCTTGCTTATCTTATTCTAATCGGATTTTATCAAAGTTTCTGTGGTCCCCTCCTACCAAGGGATTTATTAAACTAAATGTGGATGCTGCTACTACTAGTGTTTGGAAGAGGAGTGGTTTAGGTGGTGTTCTTAAAGACGTATCTGGTTCGATCCTAGCATCTTTCAAAGAGTCTGCTGGTCCAGGGCCTCCTACATTGATAGAATCGAAAGCTATCCTAAAGGGTCTGGTTTTCTTTGAATCTATTCGACAGAGATATAAGGAACGTTTGATTATCGAGAGCGATAGTAGGGTGACTATCGACTGGGTTAAGGACGTTGTTCTATGTCCTGATGTTTATGTTCATATTGTTAAAGATATTATTCAAAAACTCGGAGATTGTGAAGGCGTCATTAGATGGGTTAATATGACTGCCAACCTAGAGGCAGATGCCCTAGCTAAGGCTGGTATTGGTTAATCCTCATGTTATTTTTAAAAGGATGTTTCCTTTTGGGTTTTTTATCTCCTTAAGGGAGTTAGGTGTTGTATTTCTATGTTGATATTGTTGTTAATGAAATCCTAGGACACTTTTTCCTCCTTCCGCTGATTAAGGAACTATTTCTCAAATTTATTAAATCATGAAGGGGGTTTTAATGAGGCCTAATATTCTCATCAAAAAAAATTCTACCATTTTTTATGATATTTTGTCTCCCAGCCGGACTCTAAAGTTCGTAATCACTGGAAAGGGGCTGCTGAAATAGTGTTAGCTGCATGCACTTGGTACATTGACACTAATGGTGAAACTGTAGCAGTGGACGAAGAAAAGGTTTGAGAAACTCTGTCTGTGGGGAAATGGTGTTGTTTTCCTTTTTCTTTAGTCACTTCCTTTTGGATCATGGTTACTGTATTGTTTTATTTCTTGAACCTTTTTTCTATATTTCAGCTATGTAGCTTATAATGCTTGTAATTTGATGCCGTTAGGATTGCGGTTGCTAACTTTTGGAGCATTTATGTTTCTTGAAATTCTCGACTTCAGGTGGCCCTTTTTGAAAAGGCAATTGAAACTATGTCTGCTGGTAGTATACGTTGTGTAGCTATTGCTTACAGATTATATGAAAGTGAAAATGTTCTAACTAATGAAGAGGAGCTTGCTCGATAGGCTCTACCTGAAAATGACCTTGTTTTATTGGTTGTTGTTGGTATAAAGGTATCTATGTCAGGCAATAATTATGCACTGTTTTCATGTCTTCATTTAGTTCATATTTTACTTATTATTTGCATGAGGAAAGAGGTTAGTAATGGTCCTTATTGTTTAAGGTAGTTTATGTTTACTTCAATGCTCATATATGGACAGATTAGACGATGTGATAGAAGCACCAACATTGCCTTATCATTCTCTACTGATTATCTTCTTGAAATGTTTGTCCATTGCCCTCGATATCATTCTTATTGTGTCTTCATTTTCTGCAGATCTTTTTCATTTCTCTCGATATATAAAGTACTTTTCCTTATAATAGTATGTTTCACTCTTTGTCGATTTTGCTTTTCAAGGAAAACACCCAAATTCGTTAGCAATTAATGAAGTCTTTATGCTATGTTCTGATCTTTACTACTCTCTGCAGCATCTTTTTTTATCATTGATTTTTCTATTTAAGATAATGCCATTTTTTTTCTCATTTATGGTATTTATTTCCTCAACCTGCCTTCATTTTTGAATTGTTTATGCAGATTTTTTCATTCCTCTTGATGTATGAAATAGCTTTCGCTAAAATAGTATGTTTCACCCTTTGCCAATTTTACCTTCAATGGAAAACACCCAAATTTGTTAGCAATTAACAAAGTCCTTATGCTATATTCTGTTCTTTACTACTCTCTGCAGCTTCTTTTTTCATCATTCTTTTCTTATTTAAGATAATGTCTTTTTTTCATTTATAGTATTTAGTTTCATACCCAACCAGTCTTCATCCTTGAATTGTAAATTTATGTCTTGTTGTTAGTGATGTGCTGTCTTCACCTGAGCTAGATTACAAATGCAAGTGTTAAATGAAATGGAAACAACTATGAGACCAACAATGCGTATGACTTTGAATGTTGGATGGCTAAGTATTAACATTCCCAAAAAATGAGCATGGTGGAGGAGGTGTAGTTAGGAATAAGTGCACAAGGAAGAAACAGTAGGTTGTATCCACTGCTGACCATATCAGGAAACAATTTTATTTTGTTGGAAACTGTAAAAAATGACTTTATCTTTATTGATCTTACTGAAGATATTTCTCTGAGTTGAGTTGGCCTCATATGATTCATTTAGCTAACCCTATATATCGACAAAGGCTTAGATTTTGTGGACTTGTAGCTTAAAGTGTATAAAATAGAGATATAAAACCTATGTTTTCTTTGTTCCAACTGTGAGATATTTTATGTTTTAGATTATTATTATTTAAATAATAGTGTTTTACCTTATCACTAACTCTAGTAGTCTACTTCGTAGATAAAGATAAATTTTAAATTATCTAGTTGATCATCACTAGTATAAAACAAAACCTCTGTTGTATCTTTTCCTCATTGATGTGAATACAAGTTTATTTCCAGAAAACTCTATTTCTACATTGTATCAGTTTAGGTTCTATCCTACCTTGTCTTCTCCCGACCATAATGGTCATTCCCACCTCTTCCGAGGTTCTTCCCGAGGCTCATCAGCTAAAGGTATTCAAACAGGTTTTTGGTCAATTCCAGTTTTCTTTTGAGCCCAAACACGTCTGTATTGTGCATGAAGGTATCCCTAATTTTACTCCATTATCTTCTTCGCTTGGTTTTGTTTCTTGGATTGTTGATTCAGGGGCTAACGATAATATGACGGACGATTTCACACTCTTTCAGATTTTTAATAAAGTTGTTTCCTCTTGTAGTGTCCAAACGACTGATGGTTCACTTTCGGCTATTGCGGGCAGTGGCTCTATTCGAATAAATCGACATATTGTTTTATCATTTGTTCTTTACGTTCTGAATTTCACTTGTAATCTTCTTTTGGTTAGTAAATTGTTTGCGGATTTTTCTTGAACTTCCCGTTTTAACTATGATCTTTGTGAATTTCAGGATTTGAGCTCGGGGATAGTAATTGGCAGTGCTAGGCGTCGTGGTGGACTTTACATCCTTAAAGCCCCTCCTCCAGTTCCAACCCAAACAACCTCTAGTATTGTGTCCTCTTTTGTTTCGATGTCTCCATATCCTACTGATGTGCATGTTGAGATTGTTTTATGGCATTTTAGGTTAGGTCATCCTAGTTTTATTTATCTCGCAAAGTTGTTTCCTAAACTCTTCACAAATAAAAATCCTGTTTTTTTTTGTGATATTGGTCATCTTGTCAAACACATTCGCAGTCCATATCATTCTCCATATCACTCTTCCCAACCTTTTTCAATTATATATAGTGACATTTGGGCTCCCTCTCGTGTCAAAACTTAAATGGAGTTCGTTGGTTAGTTTTTTTATTGATGACCATTTTCGTACTACATGGACTTTTTTCATGCAAGATAAATCTGAGGTTGGTAGCATTTTTAAGCACTTCCATAAAATGATTAAGAACAAATTTCATAGTTCTATTGTCATTTTTAAGTTTGATAATGGTAGTGAATACTTTTCTCGCTCGTTAGGGTCTTTCTTTTAGGAAAAAGGTATTGTCCATCTCACTTCTTGTGTCGATACACCTCAACAAAATAGGGTCACCGAATGTAAAAATCGATATCTTCTTGAGGTAACCCGGATACCTTTTTTTTCTACTAATGTTCCTAAATATCTTTAGGGTGAGGCTCTCTTAACTGCTACTTATTTCATTAATTGCATGCCCAGTAAAGCTCTTGGCTTTAAATGTCCTCGGGATATTTTTTTCCAATTTTTCCTTAATTTTAAACCATTCACTATTAGTGTTCATCTTCGTGTCTTTGGTTGTACTACTTTTGTTCATGATCATAACCACACTAAGTCTAAGCCTGATCCCCGGGCAATCCGGTGTGTTTTTGTTGGGTAGTATTCTCTTCAAAAGGGTTATCGGTGTTACTCCCCTTCTACTCAGAAATTGTTTACTTCTATAGATGTTACATTCCTTGAACATAAACATTTTTTCTCTAAGTATGAAATCTAGGGGGAGAGTGAGTGTGAATTTCATCTTTTACCGATTAATATTGAACTTGTAACACCACAACCCGTACCAGACCCGGATATGAGTCCGAGGTGTCACATTGACTTTTCAAACTTTGACTCTTGACAAAATTCAAAGAAAATTTAAAACTTTCCTTAGAGTAAAAGCAGTTTAGTTACATAATTTTACCACAATAAACAAAATCGATCAGAACATATTTAACTCAATCAATTAGTACATGCCAATTATATTCAAAATAACAAAAATCATTTAACTCATCTATTTTCTGATCTGAAATATTGTAAGGGAGATGCTGACTTGTATTGCTCCTCACAGCTTCCATATTCACTTTCTGTAACCTGCGTGTGAAACACTCACACGCTAAGTCGAGGACTTAGTGAGGCATAAAGAAAAACACATCTAATGGAATTCATACCCACTAATCATGCATGACTGTTTTATGCTATCAAATTATACAACTCATTTACATATACATCAACATATATTCATGTATATTATGTAACAGATACCATAACCCCTATCACACATATATCATATCATGCACACATCATATCACACATCATATACATATATCACATAGCATCTCATATCACCATGATATATATGCACTTCTACCATGTCACGAGAAATACACATATCATTATATCAAACTATGTTCTCTTTTCAAAGCCCATGTACACATGTGAGAACTATAGATATGTGAGTCTATAGAGGTTGTGCACTATACTGTCACCATAGCTCGTATAATTGCACCGAAGTGCCACATAGAATTGCACCGGAGTGCCGCGTAGAATTGCACCGTAGTGCCATATAATAATGTCCATAAGGACCACATATCATTCCTTAAGAATCATATACATAAACTAGGGATCAAGTATGTGTCTCACCAGACTTCACACATGTTCCAAAGAATACATATATGTCCCGAAGGACCACATATCATTCCTTAAGAATCATATACATATGCCAATGATCAAGTATGTGTCTCACCAGACTTCACACATGTTCCAAAGAATACATATATGTCCCGAAGGACCCCATATCATTCCTTAAGAATCATATACATATGCCAAGGATCAAGTATGTGTCTCACCAGACTTCACACATGTTCCAAAGAATATATATATGTCCCGAAGGACCACATAGACCCTCGACTCTTGGCATGCCAACTATACCCCTAGCTCTCAAGACACATAACATGGGCATTTTCTTTTATACTTATCATTTCACATAACACATAGTTCAATTACTCATAGAACATTTTCATATGAGTCACATTTACATGTCACATAGCTTATATACTTTCTCGCGTAGTTACATAGATCCATGTCATATAACATATATCCCAAAGTGCATATAATCACATATATCATATCATATAGCTTAGATCATTTCTCAGATATTCATATAAACATACATATCATATCTTGTTCACATATGATCATATATGCTTCATATAACACATAGAAACACCTAGAACACTTTCTCATAGCTTATATCAATTTTCAGAGTCATTTCATATTACCTGATGACATATATCATATAGATATATAATAACTGATATCATATTATCTACCTTATGCTCCATTTCTTTGTATTCCCTTTTTTATATCATCATACATTTATATATTCTTATATGCCCTATCAATATCCTATAAACTTACTCATATTCTCATATATCATATTTCAATATAATTTGTATAGTAATACTCTATAATTGTATCATATAATGATTTTACCCAAGTACTCCTTTATAAAGTTTATATTACATGTTCAATTAGTCTCATGCTATCTTATAAATAATTTCCACTTATTTTATATCATTTTCCTTTTCCACTCACATAAACCATCTATTTATTTAGTTCAATTTCTCATGACTTCCACAATACTCTTTAATAAAACTTTGTAGCTCTTCACTATAATACATAAACCATAGTTTCCTTTAATTTATCAATCTTCCCTATATAACTTATATATCCTTATTTATGCCCTCGAATTCATAC